CAGTGTCCTGCATGCCTCCAGCTAAAGAACTAAACCCATGACAGTGCCCCCTACAAGTCCAGCTGCAGTCCTTGAGCCCATGACAATGTCCCATGCAAATCTGTTTTACCAGTCTGTGCCAGGAAGGCCCAGAGTTCAGCGATGGAAGCTAGAAAATCTATACCAGCAGGATAAAAGATCTATGCCATCAGGCTATGGGATCTGCACTGGAGCCAGGAAGCTACGTTCAAAGAAAGGACCAGAGCTTCCCAGAAAAGTACCACAGCCATCCTCAGCAAAACGAGGCCCCAATCTTCTTTAATGATAACCGCCGAGGTCTTATTAGGAAGCCAGAGTGACAAGATTCCGCTAGAGACTAACCAGCACACCATCTTCCCCTTTGGAGCCAGAAAATGATGCTCAAAAAGGTACCAAAGCTCTCCTAAAGTGAACTGCAGCCATTTTTAGCCACAAGGTCCTAAGCTCCTCTGGTGATGAGAACAGCCAAGTTCCTATCAGAAAAGAAGCTTGACAAGCTCCTCTATGAGAAGCAGCAGCAACAGGAGAACCACCAACACCACTTCTTCCTCTCAAGCTCTCCTTTTCATGTTGTTGGCAACAATCCTCAGGTGGGCCGTGCACACTCAGCCCCGCGCTGACTCAGTTACCTGGATGTTACACACTGACCATCAGTGGTGAATCCATCATGTAGAATAAAATTTCAGCTGGGGATGTAGCTCAGCCACATAGCATCTGCCTAGCAAGCACAAGGATCTGAGTTTGATTCCCAGTATAAAAAAAAAAAAAAGAAAAAAGAAAAAAAACTACTTGTAACTGTAAACTCAAAATTACTTATCTAATTATGCAAATCTAGAAAATTTAATTTCCACAAAACTTTAATAAGTATGGGTGCAATTAAATCAAAATCCACATTTTGCCAAGCTAGTGATATCTATTTTTTAACAATATCAAAATCAATCTCAAAATTTGATTAAATGCATTATCAATTTACTAAAATCCTAGAGTTAAATTGAGCACATTTGTTATGCTGTACAAATAACTACCAAGTTTGAGTCTTTGGGAATATTAAAGATCATTTTTCCATATTCTAAAATACATAAGAAAATATTTCCCCCTTTTCTGCCATAAGGTCTAGTTTCCCCTTTAGAACAGCTGTTTTCACTCAGGTACGTTCTATTTTGATTGATTGACTTCTCATCCTCTCTTCTCATCTTCCACAAATAGACCCATTCTCTAAAATCCATATCAACTTCAGTTTCTTTAGATAACTTACATCCTGATATTGTCTTTAATCTTCCTAATTTTACTGGAAATAGAATGGTAGTAAGAGGGTGGGTTAGATGTTTCTGTCAAATACTAGATGAACAGAAATAATTACCTTTTATTGGACTGTCAGTAACTCAGCTGGAAACTTACACAAACTTTCAAGTCATGGCATTACGTGGTATAGAAATCAAATCCAGTTACCCAAATTAAAAATACTCAGAGGCAATAGCTAGAACTAAAGTCAGTCAAATTTCGGGTTAATTTTATAGAGTCTGTAACCAAAGCTCTGGAAGTTTATTGAAAACTTGGAAAAGGTACAATCAACAATAATTGTATGTCAAATATGGCACCACTAAAAATAATATCACATGAAACATATGGCTTTGAGAACATATGCTTATACACTGCTAAACCTTCTACAGATAAAAGACGTAAATTGTATTTCAAAAGACAAAAAAGTGAATCCATTGACTAATTATTTCTTAGAGCAATATAATGTGAAACGATACTAGATATACGAGTCCGGTACCTAGTTTAAAAACAAGTACTACATAGGAAACGTAAGGCTTTAATTACAAATAAAAACAAAATGAGTGGAAGGTAGGTGGTGACAAAACACTCAGCACAGCCCGACTTCACTGGAGGCACCAGTGCTGGGCACTGAGGAGTGCATAGGAGAAAGCTAAGTTGATATTTTTTTTTGGGGGGGGGGTGATGCTGAAAGTTAACATCACCTTAAGGTACGTGGTACCTCTAGATCACATAGTAACTATTTAAACACTGTTTAAAAAACTTTTACACCCCAAAACGATGAATAAATCAACTGATCCTTTCAGGTAATTAATTCAGGAAGCAAAGTTAAAACCTATAATTAGCTGTTGCAATAAATTTTGGTGGTCAATTCAATCAAAATGATCATTAAATGAAAGTTAGTATGTCAGTGAGAAAATAAGTGAAAGTGATTTCGTGACCCTTACATGCACTAAAACTGCTGACTTCAACCTAACTATAGCATACTTGGTATAAAATGAGTGTAAAGATTTCATATGCTGTACAAATGAATAGGAATATAAATGCTTTCTAGAAAAATGTGTTTTGTAAATCACTAAGTATTCTAAACTTTTAAAAAATTTTAGTGCTGAATTTATTTCAAAACTATTTTAGTGTATTATTTTTAAGATCAATTGGCAAAAAAATCTGTAATTTTAAATGCCAGTGCAGACAACTATAAAGAAAATAATTGCTACAATTACAGTAAAAATGTTATAATAGTGACCTGTAAAAGATTTTTTTAAAAATATGTATTACGATTATCTAATAACTTTCAGAGATTCTTGGTCACCCCCCTCACAAAGATACAGCTTAATTTTTAATACATACTTTATTAGAAATTCTTGGAAATGCTAGCCAGGCTACTAAGAGAATGTTTTCTGGTGTGTATTTTTGTTCAGTCTACACTTAAAATTTTTAAATAATTTACACATATTGAGAATATATCCTATTGTTTCCAAATACATTATATTATGTGAAAGCAGTCCTGTAATCTGCCACTGACTGATAGAAGTCAGCAAGATGAAGGCTGTGAAAGCAGGAAGCAGTAATGTTCAAAAAAGTTTTTCAGCTCCTAATAGCAGAAATAAAGGCTCTGTTGCTCAGTCCTAAGAAAGCCTTTAATGTGCTGGGGGTAGGAGTGTGAAAGGCAAAACAGATAGGATCCTAGATAGGATCAGTGAAACTGGTCTATGTGATTTCATAACATTAGATATATATCATTATAAAAAATGTTTATCGGCCTAGGGATTTAGCTCAGTGGTATAAGTGCCTGCCTGGCAAGCACAAGGTCATGAGTTCAATCCCAGGTACCAAAAAAAAAAAAAAAAAAAAAAAAGTTTGTCAGGACCCAAAGAACATACAAGATCAGCCCAAATGTTACCTGTGGACTCTAGGGGACCATAGGGAGTCATTGTAAGTTTATCTACCAAGTGCATCACTGGCAGAAAATGACAGTGGGAGAGAGTGTGCATGGGTGAGATCATAAGACATTTGGAAAATCCTGTGTATGCTCCTCACCATGAATATCAACCAAAAATTGTCCTTTAAAAGTCTATTAAAATAAGCTTTTACCTTTCCCAATCAAATTCTAATGAAAAACTACCTAAATAAATAAGGACTTAGAAAAAGAATCAAATAGCAGAGTTTCACATTGAGAAGTAGGCAGCTATGACTTCAAAATTTAAATCTTAAACTCCTCTAAGGTTATGAGATTGTAAAGAAAAAATGAGGAGAAAAGAACTCAAATTCAGGATACTCATTAGAATCTGCTATCTGAACTTCGCAAGTAAAACACAAAACAGTCATTATCCTAAGAGTCTCACCTTATGTGACAGATAAATAAAGGAGATAAAACTCATTTTATCTCCTAAATTAAATGTCCTCTAAGATTGGAACTGGCTCAAGAGGACATCTAGGCCATCTTCAGTAAATTTAAGATCTCAGGAACAAAATGGAAATTCATTAGTAAATGAATGCACTTGAGCAGTATAGTGCAGTCCAAGCTCTTATTTTAATTACACATACTTCTCTATGTGGATGTCCACATAGACACTCCACCATGATAGTCATACTTCTAAGTATGGAAACAGCATCATATCACATTCATCATGTGTTATTTGATCTACTTCAAATGTACAGCTTCATGTTCATTTATATCAGTAAAATATATCCAAATAGAATTTTATTCTTAAGTGAACAGTGGTTGTAATCCTCCAAAATCCTTTCATAAATATTTTGGTGTTGGTCTATAAATATTCAATAACAGAAGTGTGGTCCAAGCTTGTTTTTATTAAGTTAACTTGCTACCATTAAGCAGTAAGCACTAGAAAGCCTTATTTTAGCAAAGCTCATATTGCCACAGAAGAGCTCAGTAAGTGTCTTGAGTTTTTCTCAGAGGTGACAGTTCATTTGATATATTTCCCTGAGTCTTATGGGCAGACTGACAACAAACGGGAGAATTGCCTTCTTCTTAATAAATTCTGATTACCAGCTCTCTCATGCTGAGTGTGATCATATGGTGCCTGGCTCTGGATGGCTCTGGGTGAAATAATGGACCGTGCAGATCCAAAGGCTGCCTTGAATGTTCTGCCACTTTATTATTGGCAGGAGAGAGAATTTAAATGGAATGTCAGTCAGATTTTATGTTTTTCTCTGCAGCTGTGAGCTTCTGCTAAATAATCTCGGCCCTATCTCTATCACCCAGATTTTTATGAATCCTATAATCCAAATTCAAATATTTTAATTTCCTCTCATGATTTTAGGGTCAATTTTGGGCAAAAAGCTGTGGTGTCAAGGACCACTTCCAATACATTGGAATCACTTCAATGCTCTTTGTTCTCTTTTTAATTTTTATAAAATGGATTCCAATTGATAAGAAAATGCTGTTTGTTAAGAAGTCATAAATTTTCTTTAACTCTTACATTTTTTTCTATACTGGTTGTAATACCTCAGCTTCTTTGAATAAGAGAGACCAATTTAGTGCAAGCAAATGGATAAAATAAAAGTCAAATGTGCTCTCTACATTTGATATACAAGAGAGACATTTGCATAATAAATTTGTGTATTTCTCATATAGTAATTTAAACATTTAGAATATATTCTTATATGCACTTATCAGGAATGAATGTGTTGAAATCCTTGATGTAAATGATTACAGTCACTTTCTTACTTGTCTCTATCAGGTACAAGGAACCATCTTCCCAGCTCCCAATTTCAACCCTGTAATGGACGCTCAAATGCTAGGGGGAGCACTCCAAGGATTTGGTAAGGCTGGGAATGTCTATGTTTCGTCATAGTACTACATGTATTCTTTGGATAATTGTAAAATAGCTGATGTCATTGGGGAAAAAAGAGATGCAGGTTAACCTAAAAACTTGGAAAAAAGTAGAGTGACATGAAAAAAAAAAAAATAGAAAAAGATAAGCACAGAAAACGCAAAAGAAATGCTCATGAAACATAAAGATTTTCCTGAGGAAACAAGCTCTTAATTTTAAAGGCAAGGTCGACTTTTATGAGAATCATATGCATGTACACGGATACACGGATAGATGCATTTTGATATTTTATTCACTGGCAATATCTCTTAGAAAAACAATTTAAAAAACTTTCACCATGCACTCTGAAGTTAACCTTAAAGTTTGCAATGCTTTCATGGTTTTAAAATATCAGTCATCACCACAAAAATATGGAGACAATATAACAAAATGCTATGAATTAGCTTTTTCTTCAAGAGTACAATTTTAGCTTTAAAACTATTGATCAGAGCAATCTGTTCACCATTTTTTGTCATTACTAGAGTTTCAGTTTTTCCTGTCATTGCAGTTTTAGGCTCACAATACGGCTTCATTTTGACCAGTGTAATTTCTTGCTTGTCAGTGCTCTAGGCTGAAAGACTTCAGGATGTTTCCATGGCGGAGTGTCCACGGTAGCGTGTCCAAGCAAGAACATGTTTCATGTGCTTTAATATCTGCCTTGATAGCTTCAGCAAAGTGCAGCTGAAGAAGTCAATTATCATGTTTTCCTTGGCTCCTCTCTTTTGATTTAGATCTAAGAGAAAAAAATTTAAGGCAAATAAAAATCAGTTGCTTAAATGAACATAGTCTCAAACTGTATGAAAATCTCTGGTACTAATCTCACTCTAAAAGAAAACACTTCTCAGGCCACATTCTTTAATAGTTCCCCTCTCCCAATATACTGCCACAAGATGCTACTTGTGCATTCTTAAAAGAACTATGCAGCACTTATTGCGTATCTACCAACACGTACAATTTCCAGGTCATCTCTCTAACATCCTTGACAACTAAAATAATTTTAACCTGTATTTCTAGTATTTTTAAAGAGAGATTGTACAAGTACAAATTAATCTTTCCTTAAATGGTGCTGTGTACGATGGATATTCACACCTTTTTCTCCATCATTCCCACTACTAAGCACATTGCTTGCTGTAGGATTTTGAAGATGCCCTGTATCAAGTTGAAGAAATCCCCTTCTATTCCTGGTTTGGTGAGAAATTTTATCTTGAGAGATACTGTAGTTTATTAAATGCTTCTTATTCATATGGATACAATCCTATGGTTTTGCTTCTTTAGATAGTTGATGCAAAAAATTACATTAAATGATTTAGAATGTTGGGCCATACTTGAGCACTTCTTTAAATCTTTGTGTGCATTATTATATTCATTTCCTAATTATTTGCAAGTTCTTACATGTCTGTTTATCAGAAATGTAGGTCAGTAGTTTTTGATCGGTTTTGTTTCTTGTAATTTATTTTTCTCCTACTGGTATTACAGTAGTATTGGTTTCACAGAAAGAGCTATAAGGAATTTACTCTGCTTCTAATTTATGAAAGAGATAATAGAAAATTAGCATTTCTTTTTAAAAGTTTGTTAAAATTCACCAGTGAATAATTTATTTGATCTTGGTGGGTTTTTTGTTTTGTTTTGGTTTCTTCTCTGTTTTTTTGTTTTTCACTTTTAGTTTTTTATTTTTGGTACTGGCAATCGAACTCACAACTCATGCTTGCCAGGCAGGACCTTAGTGTTTTGATAGGCTATTAATTATTGTTCAGTTTCTCCATAAACACAGGATTTTTCAGGTTGTCTTTTTTGTTGTGTTTTGTTTTTGAAGTGTGAGGTCTTTGTGTCCTCAAAAGAATTGAACCATTTCACCTAATGTATCAAATTTGCAGCATAGAATTGTTCATCATTTCTGTAATATCCATAAGATCCATAATAAGAGCCTCCCTTCACATCTGATATTGCTATTTTATGTGTCTCTTTCCTTTCACCTGGCTAGAGGATCATAGATTTTACTGTTTTTTTTTTCAAAGTTATGTCATTGATTTTCCCTATTGATTTTCTATTTTCAATTGTATTTGCTTATACTTTTATTTTTATTACTGTTTTTCTTTTTTTAACTTTAAGTATACTTTGCACATCTTTTCAATTTCCTAGACCTCATAGCTTTCTTCTTTTTTCATTTATGCACTCAATATCATAAATCTACCTCCAAACATCATATTTGTTGCATCCTGCAAACTGTATTTTCATTCAATTTTGTTTGAATTTTTAAAAATTGGTATTTGCTATTCAAAAGCATTTTGTTTAACTTACATGTATTTTAGAGTTTTTAGTTAGCGTTGCTTGTGGATTTCTAGTTACTCATTTCTAGTTTATTTTTTTTTTTCTGGCTTGAAAACATATTTTATATGGTTTTCCCTATTCTTTTGAAATTGTTAACATAAGTTCTCTGGGCCAGAATCTGGTCTATCATAGTAAATATTTTATGTGAGCCTGAGAAAAATGTATGTTACAGTTATGTTATATAGACATTGACTCAATCCTTTTTATTTTCCAAAATACAACATAAACATAAAATGTAACATCATTTAACCAATGTTAACCAATAATTGTCAAGAAAAAAATAAAAATTACACAGCTTGAAATATTTATAAAAATATAAATATGGACATGTTTAGAAAAAGTTTATTTTCATGTGAAAGAAAAAACTATATGTCTTTCCTAAGCACTCTAGAAAAAAACACTCAAGTTGGCAGATAGAATATGTTAGTGACAGAAAGACCATATTTTTGAAATTGACTCTTAAATTTATATTTATATTAAAATATTGTATTAAAATGTTTAAGAGCCATAAAAAATCCCTCTGAAATACCTCTGGAAAGATAAACAAAAACTTCTATGAAAATTTAAAAATTAAGCATAGTTGAGAAGATTGTGAATAATCTCAACGACAAAAGCAAAAAATCAAAAAAGATTGTAACAACTTAATAAATGTGAAGACTATAATGAAAACTGTAGAAGTAATTGAAGTTTCTGTATTTTATATGTTCATTTTAGAACATAGCTAACAGCCTTCTCTACAATGGTTTTAATTCTTTTGAGTCTGTGACTAGGTGAGCCCAAGATGCCCCATCCTCTCTTTCTTCTTCAGAGTTTGTTGCTTTACTCTAAGAAGCGAAAGATTCGTCTTTGGAGCTGATTTCATGGCTTCCTGCACCCCTATAAGCTTCCAGACCATTTCTCTCATCTCCATCACACACCCGGTTTTGTCAAAGGCACAGCCACCCAAGTAAAAGCCTGTTACCCGCCCATATTCACTCGCAATTTCAGGATCAGCTCATAACTTCCCTAGGATCCTAGGATAGGTTTAATTTCTAAAATGATGATTTGCTTAGTATTCTAAACTCTCAGTTTATTCTTCTGTATGCATTAAATATCTCCTCTTGTCAAAGGAAAATTACACCAGATGTGATTAACCTTCATTCAAACTGTAGACATGGGGATCTAGAGGGGAAAGAGATTGAACTCAATTTCCCTGAAACAGAAAGCGGGAGAGTTATTAAACACAAGTTCAACTGGCAGGAAAGCAGTGAGCAGGAGGCTGATGGTGGGTCTCGGAGAAGATAATGAGGTAGCCTGGGACTGCTGATCAGTGCTTACCAAAGCTGGACTCCCCCTCTCAGACAGAGGCACAGAGAAGTGACTCTGCATTCCTTGATGCTATCATTCCAAAGGAAAGGCCTGAGAACATTTCTGAGTTGTAAATCTGGCAGGAAGGTGAGAAAAAATGTACAGGTCTAAAATGTACAGAATTTCAATGGCAAGTTTTCTATAAATCATTACCCTTAGAGGGGACAGGTCAAAGGACATGGTTAGGCAAAAAAAATCCATCTTATTTTAGTCAAGCTGAGTGAAAAGTTAAGATCTTCTTAGTCACTCCACTATAACCATAATTACGTGAAATGCATCTAAACTTGCTGTGCATTAAGATGAGCTGTTAGGTTAGTGTGATAATATGATACGAGATGCGACGGGTGCGGTGAAGTAGAGGATGCCCAGCCGGACAGCAGAGCCCATGTATGAGCAAAAGGACTGCCCTCCATGCAAAGCAGGATACGCTCACACTTTCCCATGGAAGTTTCCAGACACAGTATATTCATGATTTCCTTCTTTGCTAAGCCTCCTTCCTCTGGAAATTCTAACAACAACACCCCTGTTTTCAAACTGTGTGTTCATAGTAAGTCATACCTCTCTGACCATACAGTGTGAAAAACATGGTGTCCACTTACCACCCGTAAATGAAAATTACGGCAGCCCTTTTTGGTATGGTAGGACAGGCAGCTAAGAAAAGGATCTATTTCCTTAATTTATTGTGTTTAATATTAAATCTTTAGGAATGTCACCAGCTAGTATGGATTGTTGCTTCAGTGATAACGCAAGTTAAAACCACGGCAACAGCATGCGTTTACAGAAAAAGGATTTGACAGGAGAGTATGAGAACACAGAGAGGGACTTGAGCTCGAGAAGAAAATCTGAAGGGGACACAACTCTAACCTAGAAGATCAGGCTGCTGTCCTAACAACAAAGGACAGAAGCCAGTATTTATGGAGGTCCTGGCATGGGCTAAAATCTGGTTGATCGTTTACTTGGTTCTGATTTTGCAGCTCTGGAGAAGCCCTTATGGCTTGAGGAGTTAATTGTCTTTATGAGATGATTGTGTGTGAGAAACTGTTCTGGTTTTGCAGAGGCTCTATTGATACCCAGGGTGACTGCAGATTCAGAGAATGATGAGAAACTCTTAGGTGTCCATTTTAGGTAACTAAATTTGATAGGAGCGTATTATTGCAAATCTTTTATCTTGATGTCCTCAGTCTCAGTGGAACGTGAGATAGGTTATATAATATAAATTTAAGTCAAATAAACTTATATTATCAGTTTTTAGACAGCTATTATTTAAATGTTAAATATGCCTATAGGCAGAGCCCAGAAAGAATCTGACCCAAAGGTTGAAAGTGACAATAGAGACATGTACAGAATGAAGGCAGAGCTGCCCAGAGTATTCAGTCAGCTTTCCTGCTGCTGAGAGCAAATACCTGATACACAGCTCAAAGCAGGAAATGGTCATATGATTTCAGAGAGTTCATTTCATGATCACCTGGCTCCAAGGATGTGACAGCATAAAATTGTTCAGTACATGGTGGTCAGGAAAAAGAGCAGGGGAAAATGACAGAGAGGAAGGAATGAGATATACTTGCCAAGGACATCCTCCATCCTCCATGCAGAGCAAACACAAAAGTGTGAACCAGCAAGCCCCTACACAGCTCATAAGCCAATCAAGTTGACAACTGTGCTTGTATGTTACAATAAGATTTACCCTATGTTTAGTTAGCAACTACATATCTAAATTGTCAAACAGTTCCTGGTTTTTAATTCTCCATATACTTTTCAAGAAAGCAAAAATCATGATTTTGATGAGTAACATGTTAAGGGCTTAGCAGTTAGTCTGAGCTTTCTCTCTGTCATGATCTCCAGCAGCCTTATTTTTTTCATCTAGTTTATCCTCTGACATCCTGTTAAAGGCATCCTGGCTTTAACGATGCACCTGGTTTCTGCAGTCATGCGATTATTCAGGTTAGGAGGTAGTGAAGAATACACACTCTATTTCTAATCAGTACCAGGTCCTGAAGTAAGGCCCAGAATTATAGCTGCCCTTTGTCCTCATGGTCGCCTCTGACTATCTCAGTAAGAGAGACAATTTACAGTAATAATAGCAAAATGAGAGACAGGAAGAATCCAGGCTTCATCAAGCACTGCTATGTGATTTCCAATTTTAGTTGAAATTCCTCTCTGCCCCTATCAATGATAATGCTTGCACACTGATTTTCATCCTTAAATAATGGATTCTCACTACAGAGTAGTAACGTTAATAATGTTCAAACATTATTCTTTCAGACTGTGATAAAGATGTGCTGATCGACATTCTAACACAGCGCAGCAATGCACAGAGACTGATGATTGCAGAGGCATACCAGAGCATGTATGGCCGGGTAAGGACTTTGCATCTTGTCCTGTTTTAAGGACAAACTTCTGAGCACTACCAGTACTCCTAGGGAACTGGAACCGTACATTTGTCAGTTTTTCAGATCACAAAGATTTCAGAGCTCACTGTATATTGGAAATAGTCCATGGCTTCTTACACATTTCAAAGATCAAAAAATATATATCGTGTGTGTATCAGGTACATTCATAATTATAGTGACCGTCATTCCATCCCCAAATCATACAGCCTCTCAAAAAGAAAATTTTGATAACCTTTCACTGCTAGTTGGTCCAATTAGGCTTACGTGTGGGAATGGAAACACCTGTGTGCTGAACTTTAGGGACAGCATAGAAAGGACTAATGACAACCAGGTCAAAAAGTGCCATTTGTTCCTGGAATTCTCTCCAGGTCCTCACCCAACTCTCCACCAAAGTGAATTCTTCACTAGCTTTTCTTCTCCACAGCAGGCAGTTACAGACACCATTTAAAAAGAATGGCAATTTAAAAATAGCTGAGGGCAATAAAACCATCCACAGTGCTTTAAAGTAATCACATTCTAATTCCAAAGCAAGTACCATTAAAGATTCCTGGCTTTGTTATGCATTTAAACCACAATTCAAAACAAAAACTCTTCAGGCCAAAAGGATCTTAAATAGCAATTATTTTGTCAACTGAGTATTATCAATGAAGCACTACCATAAAACTTCCTTTATAGAGTTTGCCCATATAAATTTTCTCCACCTCAAAGCCTTAGTCTTTGAACAACTGTAATATATGAGACAAAATATAGTCTTCTTTTTTAGAATGAATTTTTTTAAAGCCACTACTAGTGATGACCATAGTTGAATTATGCTCAAGGAGATCAGTTTAACCATTTTTCCCTAAAAAATTGTTATTTTAGCTTATGTTTCTAGGATTTCAATGTTAGTTTTCTTGAAAAAGAGAATTAAAAATTGTAATAAAGGATAAATCTTTCATTCTCTAATATGGTTTTAATATGCACAGCATTAAGGAAGATTTTTCTGTAATGTTAACTCAAAGGTTTATATACATCTTTGCTATTTTATATCTTGTTAATTTAGGCTAAAGCATTACTTTATCAAGCTCTATAAAACTAAGCTAAAGCAGATTTAAAATAATTAAGAAACAACGTACTTGCACTCAAGGGATTTAAAATCCATTAAAGAACTTGTTCTGGAATGAAGCGCTTCTTACTCTACACTTAAGGTCTCAGAGTTTGTTAAGCCCTCACAGTTACTGAATAATCCACCTGTGCAAGAGAAGCTTTAGCTGCTCACTGCATTGCACAGGCTGGAACACATGAAGCCACGCTTTCCTCATTCCTCTGAAAGGCTCTTGTTATTCAATCAGTTATTAAATATTAATGGTTATCTCCCCTCACTTTTCTCTCTTCTTCTTCACTTAGCCAGAATTGATTCAGATCTCCATTCTTTCAGGCTAATACTGTAACTCCTCACTGGCCAGGCTACCACCAGTCTCTGTCCACTCCAGTTCACTGTCCAATTTGAAACCACAACAACTCAAATTCTAAATTTGACAGTGTTACTTTGCCATGCTAATACTTGAGAGTTTATTCCCTTCCTCCCCCAAAGACATCCATATTTGCATGGGACAAATCCAAATGCCCTCCGGGGGCAGGTAGGCTTCCTGCCCTCATCCCTGTGCTGCATCTTAATCCCAGTCTTCTCTCCTCACACACTTCAGCCACAGCCCAGTGAAAGTACTTTTAGTTCTCCAAATTAACTCACTTCCTCCCTTTGGTCACGTTGTGCCATCCATGCTCGGTGGCTTGGCTTTCCATTTCTCAGGATGTATAGCCATCATCCCCCCAGAGGATGGATACCACACAGGCTCTGCCATCCTTGTCACACGGGGCATGTGTGTGCTGTTAATGCACACTTTCTGCATCTTCCTGACAGTATCTCATGGCACACCCTTGAGTTTGTTTGAATTTGTTTTCCATTATCACAGTCTAAGACTGATCCATCCCAAAACAAAAATATCAAGCTTGAGAGTTATAGGCTTCTGCAGATCAAACATTCGATTTCTACAGGATTCAAGAGCAAGTCAATAGCTGCTTTTCAGAAATGATACACCTGGAAGTTATATCACAAAATAAGTTTTAATAATCAAGCAATAACTTCAAGAGGCTGTTTCCCTTGCCAGTTTCCAACTAGCCAGCTATCTGTCAGAGAAACTTGTAGCTAAAACTGGTAACTAAGATTATAGGGCCACTTCCTTACCTATGTCACTTTTCCAATGAAGAGCATTGCCTTTGGTAGTTACAAGCATTCACAGAAGCAGCAGATAAAACCAAGTAAAGTCAACAGTAAACACTACAATAATAGTACAGCACAGTCAATGAGGCAAAAGCCTGCAAGCAAAAAATCCTGCATCTCTAATTCAAAACTGGCCCAAACTCATCATGTGAACTTGGGTGTACTTCCACCAATGGGTCCAGATAGAATATTGACTTCAGCACCTGAATCCAATGAATGTATAAAAATTTGAATCCATTTGAGTCCCTACTCAGAAAAGTATGCACGTCCTTGAGCGCACAAAGAACAGGAATAGGAAGACCTTGGATCTTGATTATGCAAAGCAGTTACAGAATTTAGGATCAAATTCTGAAATCAGAAAACAGAATTTGGGATCAAAGGAAGAGAAAGATCAAGAGACATGAGAGAGAGAGAGAAAAGGTCTGCATTAATACCAAGACATATTGTTACCTGCATGAAAACGATGCACACCTTAATCAAGTGAACTTCTGTTATTTTTGGCCAACACACAGTCCTATTTCAGTTGGTAAGTTCATCATTACAATACCAGATGTCCAGCCTTGTGGAATCTTGACCGAGATGAATTTTAGCTGGTCCCACACGAGGGTGATCATTCCTTTATCTGGCTTAGCTTTGACTCATACATGGTGTTGTAGTCAGGGCTTTACAAGGGAAAGGATTTAATACAGGTCACATAATTTATAGGATTATTTTGTGATATTCATTCAATGAGTCGAATGTGAAAGAGTGTAGGAGCTCTGTCCATACACTGGGGAGTCAAAGAATCCACCTGAGGTCCTGGATCCCACAACAATGTTCAGTTGAAGGTTTAGAGCCCATGACAGTGCCCTTCCATGAGTCTAACTGGAGGTCTAGAGTCCACAATAGTGTTTCATGAATGTCTGTATCAGAGATCTGCACTGAGAAGGCCCAAAATTCAGAAGTAGAAGCTAAAAAGTCTACACCAGCAGGATGAAAGATCTGTGCCAGCAGGCTGAGGGATCTGCACTGGAATCAGGAAGCAATGCTCAAGGTAAGAACCAGAACTCCCCTGAAAAAAAAAGCAGAAGCCATTCTCAGCAACAGCAAGGATCCGAGTTCCTCCAGTGATGAAAACAGCTGAATTCATATCAGTAAAAACAGAGTGGCAGGCTTCTCCAGGAGAATCAACAGCACACCATCTTCCCTTCCACTTCTCCTTTGTATGCTGTTGGCAGCAATCCTCAGGTGGGCCTTCCACACCCAGCACCACACTGATTCAGGTCAGCTGGGTGTCACAAGGTGACCACAAGTTGTCAATCTACCACACATGGCAATTTTCTAATGAGTTACTCTTTAAAATGGACTTAATGGTTTTAACATACTTGAAAGACTGAATGAAAGGCCAAATTTGTCTCATGGGACTTACAGTGGGAGAGAATATTAAAAGTGGCAGAGAAATATGCATTCACACTCTGCTCTGGGAAATTTTTGGTCATTTTTAAAGATGTAGTAGTTCCATTTTCAACTGCTTATTAAGGTAAATATTGCATTTCAATTATAGAATTTTTGATTTGTAGAGTTTTATTTGTTTCCTTTGAAGTACTCTTTTTTTTTCGTACGGCCGTTTCTAATCTTTATTGTCTCAGATCTATGTGTATTAATTCTGCTGCTTGCAGAGTTCATTACCATTCTGGGAATTTTTTTTCTAAGTGTATGTCATAATTTTTTTATTGTGAAAATTTTTAAATGCAACATTTTTAGAAATAATCTTTTTTTCCTAAGTCAGAGAATTTTAGAAGATTAGCTTTGCATTTGCTTCTCTCTGTTTTCCCAGGAAAGTCAAGATCAACTTGCAGGATGATTTCTCTGCCCGAAGGTCTCAATTCATACATTCAGAATAAGTTTGATCTTCATGTCCAAGATTATATAGATGTATTGTTTTAGATTATCAGGGGGAAAAAGTCTACTCAAAACCCAGGCAACGAGAAGTGCGTCATCACCTCACCTTCCAGTGATGAATGAAATTTTCCTATCTCTCACTTTTACTGAAAATAATAATACAATAATAAGAGAAAAATTAGTTGAGGATACTAACCTCTTATGTGAGACTTTGGGCTTAACTTCCTGTGTTATGCTATTTCAATATATATTTTCCAATCCTCATGCAATGCCCTAATTGGGCATTAAAACTCGGAACAAATAGTTTGCAAACATTTTCTTCACTTTTCCCAGTCACCTACAAGATCATCACCAAAGTCAACTCAGTTCTGATTTTCGTTTGTCTCTTAGTTCTTTATATGCAAACATTCCTTGCACTTCTGAGATGATGTACTTCTAAAAGATTTTTTTTTCCTTTTGTTTGGAGAGGGAAGGCTTTTGTGTTTCAGTTAGCATTCTATAGCTATAATGTATCACCTGAGATATTCAACCTATAAAAAGAGCAAGTTTATTTTTCCTCACGTTTTTGGAAGTTCCAGCGCATGACTGATTTGCCTTGTTGCTTTTGGAGCTAGAATAAGGAAATAGATCCTGGTGGAGTATGTGGTTTGGTGGAGTAAAAATACTCACTTTACGGCTCACAAACAAAAAGAAGCCATGTCTCACTCTGTGCTGTGAATGAACACCCCACTGACTTACAGGTCTCCCACTGGGCCCTTAGCTCTTGCAGGTCCCACTTCAACCCAGTAGCATCAACCTGGATATCAAGCACTTAACCCAGCAGATT